AGAAGAAGAAGAAGAAGAAGAAGAAGAAGAAGAAGAAGAAGAAGAAGAAGAAGAAGAAGAAGAAGAAGAAGAAGAAGAAGAAGAAGAAGAAGAAGAAGAAGAAGAAGATATAGAGCAAATCAAAATTCTTACAGAAAAAAGAAATTATTCATCACCCTCAATAATTTATTAGATATAGAGCAAATCAAAATTCTTACAGAAAAAAGAAATTATTCATCACCCTCAATAATTTATTATAAATTTACTATATAAATATGTATACGTTTTAATAATTAGTAAATATTAGTTTAATATAAAATTATTGAGGGTGATGAATAGTTTTGAGTTCTATGCTCAACAATTTTGCAAACTTTTATCATCTCACTAATATCAGTTTACTAGTGTACTTCTTGTTAATTAGTAATAATAATTTTAGTTTAATGTAAAATTATTGTAACAGATATTTCAATTTATCATTTGTAAAATTTAAGACAAAATAATGTTAGTTTCATATTTTTTTCTTATTTCATTAGTTGTATAGTTTCAAAACTGTGGGAACGACTAACGAGGTTCTACTAGTGTTATGACTTCTTATATTTGTGTAGTTATTTTAAAGTTATGTTTTTTTAGGTTTTAAATATTTTAAAAATATTGGTATTATTACTTGTTTTAATATATTACGATAAATTGAATATATGTAAATTAATAATGTTGATAAAACATAATTAAACTTAAGTATATTAAAAGAATTAAATATAACCCAGCCAAATAAGCGAAAAGTAGTACTGATTACTTAGTAATTGATTATGGAAAATAATTATTTTAATTATTTGAAAAATAATTATCTACTTACACAAGATAAATTTATGACGTCCGAATATTGTGAATTGAATTAAATCATCCTATATCTTACCCCCTGAACAAATAAATCGTCATATTGATCTAAAAATCTCCTCTACTCAATAATATAATGAGCCTTAATTATTGATGTCGAGCAATTGAGGAGATAAAATGATTGATCACTTGTCTTTTAACGTGTTACGAGAGCTGAGTAGAAGTCATGAGCCGTCGAGTTCACGAGCGCTTCATTTCGTTAAATATCTCTAATCCCGGCAAACGATGAAAACAACAAACATAATAAGATCAATTAGATGCATACTACAAATCAACATGCTTTCAAGAGAGCAACATTTAACTTGTCCTTCAAACCTCTCACCAATTGCAACCTGCAGTTCTCCCCCTGAACAGTGAACATTTGAACAACTTCACCACCGTCATTTATCTCTCAAAGCTTCTAGAACCTTCAAGATCGGATGCCCCTCGATCGGGCAGCTAAATCTCACAACCCCATCATCGTGAAACTCGACATCCCTCAATGTGCCACACCCGTTTTCCTTTGAAGCCCACTTCTCGGCTTCCAAAACCCTAATCGAGGTTTTTTTTTTAAGTTAGGTTTTGGCGTCAATATTTGCCTAAATAAACAAATGTAGCAACATTTTCCAGATCATTGGAGCAAACTTTGAAAATAACAAAAGCATATCATCATCATCATCGATGTGAATATCATAATAAATAACCCCGCAATTTTATAATTAAACCAGTCTTCCAACTTACATAATACTATAGTTAATTCATCCGAATCCGAATTTGATTGAAACATTAAAGAACATATAAGCAAGAAAAATAAATAAAAACAAAATTACACACAAAAAGCTCCCAACTAAACCCCAAATGGAATTGACGTGGGCCAAGGTGGATGCATGAGAACAAAGGACGCGAGACCCTCGTCCCCTACAGATTCCTGAAGCTCACCGAGCTTGCGACACGTGTCCTTCGAAACCCCACACTCGTAAACACTCTTTCCGCACATGACAAAAATCGAGTCACAATCTTTCGGGTGAAAAATGGCAGCAACAACCGTATGCCTGTCACCATCAGCAGCGACTGCATCCGGGAACTTCAACTCCCTCTCACCAACCAACGCCCATGTGTTATCCCCACGGTCCAATTCCCAAACCCTCACAACGAAGCATTTCGGTCCTTGCCCGGCCCTCAAAACGTGCAACAACCTCAGCTCACCCCTCACGGCACCAATGTGGACCCTCGAGTCGGGCGTGTCACCCGCGGTGTTTTCACGCACAATGTCCGGGAAGTAGATTACAACACACCGATTATCGGCTAAATTTAAAGAAACAATGCGGTCGAAGTTGTATAAACCGTCCATCCAGTACAGAATCCCATTGCACGAAACGAGATTGGCCATTTCGGTGTGGTCCATTGTTGGGCGAGTAGGAAGCAAGAAGGAAGATCTGGTCCATTGCACCGACTCAGAGCAAAACACAAACACTACTAGTTTGTAGTTTTCGGCAATGGCTTCTCCCGAATCATCAGTCAAGATTGCACGGTCGAGAGATACCACCTTGTACGAGTACCTAGCATTAGGAGAGGGCTCGTTGCATATCAGTGCGAAACCAATCCTGTTTCCAAGAGGGCATTCTCTTGGAATGGGGAACCACTTTTTAGTTAGTGGGTTACAAATGTAGTACCTCTGACTCGATTTATAACGGGGCTCATAAAAGCGGGTATCAGGGGTCACGAGCAACAAGTCGTTGCACGATGCCATTATGACCATGAGTTTAGGCATAAAGTCGAGATAGTTAGACGACGATGATAATAATGCATGCTCTCCGCCGTGGATAAGCAAAGATTCCTCCGAGAAAAGAGTGCAAACCAATTGATAATACTCTCGGGTCTCATAAAAAGAACGATAATTCATGCGGAAAAGAATGGTGTAGGATTGATGTTGATCTTGATGGAGGCGGATGAAGCGAGGGATGAATTGGGGTTGAGAGATCAACGCATGCCAACGCCGACAAACATAGCTAAACTGGATAACAGAACGACAATTCGGGAGTCTAACAAGGATCTCCGACAATAGGTCTTCACCGACATTAGACAGCAAAACTTCTGATGCTCGAAAGTGAATAAATGAGTATTTTAGCAACCGTTTAAGAGTATCTAATTATGTAATTTTTTTTATGCCTCAATGCTTGTCCTTCTCCTTTTACTTGTACCGCTTTCCTAATCATAAATAAATATGTAGATATATAGATATATGATTAACTTAAACAAATGAAAAACACTAAATTTGAGAAAGGACCTGATTATTAATCAGAAGAAGATCGGGATTGGAATAATAGGGATTAGTATCCAATCGAGGGA